GCTCTGCGTATTACTGCATACCCATAGGTTATCTTCTTTTCTCAAGCAATCTCCTGAAAGATTTATATTGAATATGCAATATATTTTCATGTTAAATTTTTAGAGATTTCCCTATTAGCTTCTAAAAGTTGAGTGACCCACAAAAGAAAATGAAAACCAGATATAATCAAGCACTTCTGCAGTAATTAGGTGCAGGATTTCAGGGGTAAAACAATGCTTATATGACATGGCTAAATAGATCTTTACACTAAAAAGTTAGATTCAAGAGGCCATGAGATATAAACCACAAAATTAACTAATTTCTATCCTTTTGGTGCCAGGGATCATACCCAGGGAAGCACTCAACCACTGAGTTACACCCCAAAGCCCTTGCATATCTTTTAGCTGCCATAAGTCAAACTGTCATATGAAGCATGGCAAGTGTATCCTTTATCTTCATATTTGAAAGTGAGAAATAGATGCACTTTACAACCTGTGATACAAAGTAATATTCCTTAACCGAGATTCACATTCTATGTTACACTCAATTCCTTTCCATTGAAGTTATTAGTATCTCAATTTTATGTAATCATGAATGCCCTGAGGACTTATGATCTGCCCAATCCTTCGATAATTCTTTTCCAGAACCTAAAGGAGTATGCTTCCTCTGACTCTACAGGCAGTTGAGACAGCTTCCTTGATTCTGGTAAGCCTTTATATCTTCCTCCACCCAGCACGTGGCATGTGGTTACCTCTCTTTTAATTTGCATCCCAAATGAACACCTTAGAGAGTATAAAATTTCATGAACAAAGACAATTCAATAAATGATATAGTCATTAATGCTATGAAAAGCAGAAGCATTTTTACAACTGACTCAGCCAGCTTTCATTTTATTTGTAATTGAGCAACCAAAACAATCAGGACTCATTTTGATTAAACTGTCCTTCCCTTTTCCATTTCTGAAGCAACAGGTGCCCTTTGGTTGATGTGTTCCACATGAGTCATTTCAGGCTAGGCCAGCCCAGTTGGGCAGGCATATTTACAATTTCCACCTAAACTCCGGAAGAAGGGACAGAATCAGATTTCACTTCACAGCAGGGAAGAGAGATAATGAATATTCAGAGTGATTGTGGTTAAGACTACAGCAGCAATATGGCCCTGCAACATAAAGAACCCCTCCCCCCACTGTAACATTCCACTATGTCAGAAACAAACAGGATTGCTCTAGATGTGTACATTCAGAAAGAGGGGCTTCTCAGACTGAGCAAATATTGGGTGAAGAAGGCTGAGTCAGCCAGAGGCTGGTATTTAAATAGCAACAGTAAGACTGGTTCTTGTTTCGTTTTTGGTTGTCTTGAAGTAAACACATTACTGAAAAGCAAAGGGATGGGGGAAATACATGAAAACACATGGGTCTCACACAAGAACCTGTTAGGTCCAATTCCAGCCACATGGATGAAGAACAATGTAGAAAACGAAAAACGATTCAGAAGGCATAAAAGCAAAGCTGGCTTAAGTACTATGTATAGATGGCAATTCAAGGGCTGGGGAGATGGCTCAGCAGTTAAGAGCACTGACCACTCTTACAGAAGGCTCTTGCAGGGGACCTGGGTTTGATTTCCAGTACCTACATGGTGGTTAACAACCATCAGTAACTCCAGTTCCAGGTGAGTCTGATGCCCCTCCCGAACTCTGTGGGCATTGCACGACACAGGTGCAATTATATACATACAGGCAAAATACTCATATACTTAAAATAAAAATAATAAAATATTTAAAAAATGAAGAAGATAATTCAGCCTAGAAAGGGCGGGGTTTAATTAAAAGCTTTCAAATTATATAGCCATCAATAATCAGAAAGGAGGTTTTCATTTGCTACTCAATAACGAACTAGAAATGAGTGTCCCCTATGACACAAATAGGGGTATTCATCACAGTAGCATTAGTTTTTCTGAGAAAAATTAGATACATTCTAACTGTCCAATGTAATTATGAATATAATAATGAAGTGAATTATCTCAATCTAACAAAGGAGGACAACTAGTGGAAGGGATGAAATGAGCAGTAATTAATAGGACCAGGAAGAGCTTATGATGCCAGGAGTGAGTAACACTTGCCTGTTGATGGAGGCTAAGGGGGGGGGATGCATTTACAGAAGCTGAGGAATTTAAGGCAGACAACTGCTCTTTACCAATCACTGTGGAAGACTTTCAATTCACTTTAACTGTGCCAGTACATACTGGCTACATGCCACTTGTGGCCACTGGCACCAAGCTCTCACTCCATGCCAAGCATTGCAGAGTCCTCAAAACAGCCCCAAGGTGAGCATTGTTAACCTCCTTTTTAAGAGATAACAGAAAGAACTTAGGAGGCCAAATGACTTGCTGAAGCTTATTCTTTCTGCAAATGACAGTGCAGAGATTCAACCCCAGGCCTACTTGCCAACTAACCTGGCAGCTGTTTCCTGTTCCACATTACTTCCCAAGACAATACAGCTAGGATATAACACTGAAGGGGAAAACCCAGATAGTAAACTGTAAATAAACTCAGATTACATCTGCTGTAGTCAGTTTTTCTTTCTTTTAGAATTTCCAAATGCTTTATAATATGATGATGTCACTTTAATAATGAAAGGTAAATTGGCAAGCAAAGTTGTATTGGGAGAGATTTCATTGTAGCTAGAAAGAGCTACTAAAATAAAGTTACATGCTTTTTGTTTGTTTTGCTTTTTATTTTTTAGACAGGATCTCAATAGGTAGCCCTAGCTTGGAACTACATAGACCAGGCTGGCCTCGAATTCACAGAGATCTACCTGTCTCTGCCTCCTACTTACTAGGATTAAAAGCATATGCCACTAGCTTAGCAAAAAGTTAAGAGTTTTAAATGTACTTTTTCCTCCCCAAACAGGAGACTTTTTTTTCATCTCTTTGAAATGATTCAACTACTGTTCTAATTGCATAAAAAAGTTACTATTATAGCCCTTTCTAGCACTCAGATTCTAGAGTATACTGCCAAATCTATAACAAACTAATAAAAATTATCAGTCTAAAAATCATTGAGAAAGCCAGGTGTGGTGGTACATGCCTTTAATCCCAGTACTTGGGAGGCAGAGGCAGGTGGATCTCTGTGAATTCAAGGCCAGCCTGATCTACATAGTGAGTTCCAGGGCAGCTGGGGCTACAGGGAGACCCTGTCTCAAAAAAAAAAAAAAAAAAAAAGGAAAAAAAAAAAATCACAGAGGCATCAAGGCATTCATTCAGTAATATTTACTGCCTGAGATATGTCAATGTGTCAGTCATTTGGCCAGAGGCTCAACAGTCCCAGGTCAATGCAGAGCCTGGCCTTCTTGGAGCTTTCAGCAATTCCAAGATGGCTCCTTCCAGGCCTAGAAGGGTATTTGCTTATCTTAAGCCGACATTCCTGTACTGAAGAGTGAGCTCTGGCTTTAGGCCTTTGAACAGCAGTCAAGGAACAGGCTTATTGGGTTACTGGGTAAGGGAAGTTGGCTGATCCATTTGTCAAGGATCATGCCTACGGGGGAAGGGAGATTGGGGTTGATTCACTTGAGAACTTCAACATGAGTTCACTGTGACTGTGCCAAGACCAGCTTGTGGAACAGTCAAATAAAGAATCCCTTAGAATCTAACGGGGCTCCTGGAGGCCTTCTGGCCCCTTGGAGTGTTTCTGTATCAGTTGCTGAAAGGGCATAATTCATTTAGGTCCCTTGGGGGAAAATAAGATAAACTCACATGACAGGGAAGATAATCACTCATTTTGGAAAGTTAGTTGGTCTTGAACCTTTTTTTTTTTAAATGTGTATGAATGTATTGCCTGCATGTGTATATATGCACCCGTGTCATATAATGCCCGTGGAGCTCAGAAGAAGGCTTAGATCCCCTGGAACTGGAGTTACAGATGGTTGATAACCACCACGTGGGTGCTGGGAATCAAACCCAGGTCCTCTGCAAGAGCAGTCAGTGCTCTTAACCACTGAACCATCTTTCCAGCCCCGGTCTTAGATCTTATTGTTAAGGGAAGGAATTTACTATTTAACCAAACTGTAGAAGATAACTAATACATGAAAGTCACAGGCACATGTTCCCACTGCCATGACCAGTGTGAATGCTACAAAGCATTGAGGTAGGGTGAACCTTCTCCAGAAACAACCACCCAGGAAGCTCCATCTTATATAGAAATAATCTGTTTAAACCACAAATGTTAGATAAAAACACACTTGCTTGCAAGGGACATTAAAAAACCTATTCTGTTCCTAAGAAGCAGATATAGAAAATCCATACCTTCCAGTCAGTATCTGTGCAGATTAACATTAGTACACCTGCCTGCAGAAACCTTCGTCTTCCTTATTCCACCCCTCTAGCAGGTCAACCCCATCTCCTTGGAACTAGGTCCTTTTCAAGCTTCTTTAGGTTGCTAAGTTGTTATCAAAAAGTGTGCTGACGGGGCTGGAGAGATGGCTCAGCAGGTTAACAGCACTGGCTGCTCTTGCAGAGGACCCAGGTTCAGTTCCCAGCACCCAAATGGTGGCTAACAACCATCCTTAACTCCAGTTCCAGGGGATCTGACTCCCTCTTCTGGCCTCCGCAGGCACTGCATGGCATGGGTGCACTTTCATACATGCAGGCAAAACACTCGTACACATAAAATAAAAATAAATTTAAAAATTTAAAAAGATGGAAAAAAACTTTTTTTCTTTTGGTCTTTTTGAGACAGGGTCTCCCTATAGCCCCAGCCATCCTGGATTCACTATGGAGACCAGGCTGGCCTTGAACTCACAGAGATCCGCCTGCCTCTGCCTCCCAAGTGCTGGGATTAAAGGCATGCCCCACCCATCACACCCGGCTGGAAAAAAACTTTTTAAAAGTGTTTTGAGCTTGCCAGTCTGGTGAAAATTTAAGATCTTCTAAATCAACTATTAGACTACCGTGCCCAGAAAAGGTTGAACCCATATCCCTAATATGTTACTGAGTCAAATGTCTTTAAGAAATGTTATTTATCTCACCTTCGATATAACTTCGACTGTCCAAAACTTACAATTACCAGTGGTACTTGGAAAGTAGTCAGGACAAGAATAACCTGGAGAAGGACAAAAGCATTCTGTCAATAAGAAAGGCAAGACACTGCAGTCACATTAATATGTGATGGGGCTAGACTACTTTTAAAAGACTGGGGATAGTCCCACTTTTTAATAGTCTCTATTGCAATATATCTGAAAACCAGGAAGGGCCAAAGTACTAGGGTTTGTAATGAGCTGAGAGGTTCCCAACTCATTTCATTGGGATGATACCCCATGCTTGCACTTGAAGCAATGAGATACAGCTGCTCAAATACACATAATAAAGGAAGGATATAAGTACTTTGGATCTCTATAATCATAAATACTCTGAAGTGAGAACCACCTCTTTTTTTTCTGCCTCCAAGGGTTACCTACTGTGGGTATCCTCACAGAGGTCACTGTGTCACACATCTGTGTGTCTTCTCTTCTGGGTTGCTAGTTCTCCATGAAATTCATTCTGTAAATAATTATTTTTCTACAAGAAATATACATGAGCCGGGCATGGTAGCACATGACTTTGACTTTGATCCCAGCACTCAGAAGGTAGAGGCGGGCAAATCTCTGTGATTTCAAGGCCAGACTGGTCTGCATAGTGAGTTCCAGGACAGCTGGGGCTACAGGGAGACCCTGTCTCAAAGAGAAACCATGAAAAATATTCTGGATAGATTAGCACAGGAGTTTCAAAAAGTCATATAATAAGAGATCTTAGTTAGGTATCGTAGCATACTTCTGTAATCCCAGAACTAAGAGGTGGATGTAGGAGGATCAGGAGTTTAAGGCTAACCTGAACTACATGGTAAGTTTAAGGCTATCCTGGGCCACATGAGACTCTGTGTGCACCCCCTCCCCAACAAAAATAAAAATAAAATCTTAGAGCTATCAACTGTCTTAAATAGATAAATCACGGAAATTAGGATATAAGTCAAAATTGAGAAAAAACCTGACACATACTTAAGGAAATTCTACTGAAGTTTAAAGATTAGTTAAAACAACTTGTGGAGGGTGGCTCAGCAGTTAAGAGCACTGGTTGTTCTTGCAGAGCACCTGGGTTCAATTCCCAGTACCCACACACCAGTTCCAGGGAAATCCAATGCCTTCTTCTGACCTCCGTGGGCATTACACGACATGGGTGCACTTACACATATGCAGGCAATACACTCATACACATAAAATAAAAATAATAGCTTTCTTTTTGTATGTTGGGGGTTTATGTGTGTGTATATGTTCATGTGTGTGTGCCCATGTGTGCTTCAGAACATGCATATTGAGGCCAGAAGTCAACACTGAGTATCTTCCTCAATTGCTCTTCACCTTATTTATTTTATTTTCAGGGTCTTTTTGAAACAGGGTCTTCCTATAGCCCAGCTTACCTGGAATTCACGATGTACACCAGGCTGGCCTTGATCTCACAAACATCTACTTTCCTCTGTCTCCCGAGTGCTGGGATTAAAGACATTTGCCACCATGCCTGGCTCCACCTTATTTTTTGATACAAGTCCTCTCACTGAACCTGGAGCTTACTGACTGTACAAGATAACCTGGTGGGCAAGCTCTAGGGATCCTCTTGCCTCTGCCTCCACAGTACTAAGGATTATAGGCATGAACCACCATGCCCAGCTTTTTACGTGGATGCTGGGGCTCTGAACTCAGGTCCTCATGCTTGTACAGCAAACACTTAGCTCACTGTATCATCTCCTTAGCTCACTTTGCTTTTCAAAACTAGAACTGTGCTTCCATGGTCTTCTGGCATAGCTATCATGTGCCTCAAAACTATGATGTAGGTAGGCATGAATGGAATACCAGGATGTATGTGATATGACCCAGTAACCCCGACCCTGCCCCACCCTTGTCAAGCATGATAACAGAGTCAAATAATATCAAATCCTGACAGGAGATCTGAGGTCCCTGCACCCACATCCTTCATGTAGAGACCAGCTACATACAATTTTTTTTAATTAAAAATACATAGGGTCTCCCTATGTAGCCCAGGATCCCCTTAGCCTCCCAAGTGCTAGGGCTATAGGTAGGTACCAATACATACATCTAGCTACAACTGCTTTTTATAGGGACAGGAGCAACAGACAGAATTTATATGGGTCCATGGATACCACAATCTTCAACACAACTGAGGGAAATGACAAAGAAAAAATACAGACTGGAGAGAAAATGCCAAGATGTGTAATCTCCCCTTTTCTTCTTCTACATAGAGCTTTCCCCAAATATTGAGAGGTTCCCTTCTCAACACACAGGACTCTCCCTTCCCTCTCCTTCTTCTTGCTCGTCTTGATGTTAAGGGGCTATCAAGCACAAAAGGTATCCCTCTTCCTGCTATGGACAAAGGTGATCTTAGGACCACCTGGGACTGGTTCCCAGTTCTAAAGCAAAACCAAGCCAACTACACTACATTCTTCTGACTGAAAGTATGTTCTTTCACACATTTTTCTATGAATAAAGTTGAAGACCCTCCCAAAAAATAATATTTGGTGCATATCTGCCCCCAATCCATATCACTGTGCTAGACTCAAACAGCTCAAGATATGACTTACCCCAGTGCTGTCTCCAACCCAGGACAAGGACACCGAGCCACTGAGGTCATCAAACACATGCTATTATGGGGAAAAAAAGATGGAATTCATTTAGAAATGTCATCTATTCTCCTTCAATTCTGGGCTTCCTTAAATAATTCAGACCTTTATTACTCTTCTGAGTAATTAAGTTCATAATTATAAGAGGTCGCAGATTCCCAGGGTAAAATTTGGGAGAGAAAAGATTTAACTACTTAACCTGAATCACAGATGACTTAGAAACAAGTTCGCTCTCACACAAAGTAAGGCAAACAGATGAGTTTTCCTCACTGCACCAGATGGGGAGATGGGAAAATCTAATTGCTTTCTCCAACCGAACTAAATATAAAGACAGAGCAAAGTATTCTTAGGAAGCTTTAAAACAAGAGATCAGAGCCCACACTGACAGACGTAATTATAACCCAATCAGCATAGTTGAAGTTTTGTTAGGCAGTCTTCACAGTACAGCTGAATAGTTATAGCCAGATTCCATCTGCCTCCCAGCTAACCCACCTAAACAATGAAAGGCTGAGCAAGAGGTAAATGACCTTTTTTGTCCTTCTATTCGATAATAGCAGTAATTAATAATAAACCTTACAAGAACTGTGGTAAGATTAGGGAGACAAGAAAGGGAAGTTGGTATGGTATATCTAAAATATTGAAAGCATGTTAGAGGACACTGATCGCTGTGGATGCTTTGGGGTTTTCCATCCAAATATTTTTACCTTCTATTTAATAAAAAAAAATATACATGTAGTACAGAAAATGTAGACAATATAAGGAGGAACAATAAATAAATTCATTTGCAATTTTACCACACCAAGACATTCCAGGTTAATGCTATATGTTTAATAAAAATAATTCTACAGAGGCAATATCTTCATTTGAAAGAATTCCCAAGTACACAGAGGGCTCTCTTCCTTTTCCCTAACACATGCTTTCCATTTAAGTTCTACTTTTCTGTTAATACGTTAAATTAAAAAAAAATTTGGGGGGGGGGCGCTGGAGAGATGGCTTGGTGGTTAAGGGCATTGGCTGCTCTTACAGAGGACCCAGGTTCAAGTCCCAGCACCTACATGGCAGCTAACAATCGTCTGTAACTCCAGTTTCAGGGGACCTAACATCCTCTTCTGACCTCTGAGGGCACCACGCAACATGGGTGCACCTATTTACACGCAAGCAATACATTCATACACATAAAATTTTTTGTCTTTTTGAGACAGGGTCTCCTTGTAGCCCCAGCTGTCCTGGAACTCACTATGTAGACCAGGCTGGCCTCAAACTCACAAAGACCTGCCTGCCTCTACCTCCCAAGTGCTGGGATTAAAGGCGTGCACCACCACGCCCGTCACTAAAAAATTTTTTTAATTAGAAAAAACTTATTTGTAACATGTGTATGAGTGTTTTGCCTGCATGTAAGTAAGTATACCATGTGTATGCAATTCCCACAGAGGCCAGAAGAGGGCGTAGGATCCCCTGGAACTGGACAGTTGTTAGACATCATGTGTTCTGCAAGAATAGCAAAATGCTCTTAACTGGTGAACCATCATCTCTCCAGCCCATTAATACTTTTGCATATGCTTCTACTAAAGGTTAGAGGTAGTACTTTTTTCTTAGGAAGACATATCCAATTTTACATCTTTATTATTGTTGTTTTTGAGAGAAGGTTTCCCTGTAGCCCCACCTGGCTTGGAACTTGGACCATGGTAGCTTTAATCTCAAAGTGAACTGCTTGTCTCTGCCTCCCACATGCTGAGCTTAGAGGTGTGTGCCACTATGCCCTGCCCATTTTTTCACATCTTAAACTTTTATATCTTAAATTTGTCTGGACTTTTCAAATGTGAAAAGCTTGTTGCAAGTAGAGGAGGGAACTTTTTATTTCTTGGTGTTCCCTGAGCAGTCAATAAGCATCTGTTGAAAGTGATTATAATACATCCTTCCCAAACCACAACCTCCATCTCAAAATAGACCATGTCTGTAAATGGTCTGATGCCAGCTCCTTGGTCACTCAAACCACCAATCCCAACAGAGAAGCCGGAAGCAAGAGAATCGAGAACATGAACTATTTTGCTTATCTCCGAATTTTTACTGTGGTACCTCTGACTGGGCTTCTAAGTCCATCTCTGCTATTTCCCCTCTGGAAGGAAAGGGCCTTTGAGGTCAAAAGACCCCGACAAACACTCTCCAAAAATAGCACTAGTGCCTTGCACAGGGCTTGCTCAGTAAATGCTGGTTAACTCCCAGAAGCTCAGGCTGAGCTTCTCAAAGCCTCTGAGGGACAGAAGAGTTATTCATACATGAAGACTTGCTGAGTATCTGAGAAAAAGCAGGGCTGCTAGAGACTCCTGAAACCAAAAGCTTACAAATGACACAACAGTGTGCCTTAGAAGATGTTTTGCATAGAGTAAGACCACATGTGTTCTTGGGAGAGAACACAGGGCTCCTGAAATTACCTCAGTGAGTACCCTGAAGAGGCACAGGGACAGCGGGGCTACCACAGCTCTTGGCTGACCACACGCTCCGGGCATCATCTAAATATAGGTTGTTTCTCCAAGGAAGGGTCTACTTGCAACTGACTAAAAAAAATGAAATACTCTATTAACCTCGGCACTGATGAGTGTCTTCATCAGACCACAGCACAGTCAGTTTGAGACAGCCAAAACCTGCACTTCGTATTTTATATAATTCTCTCCACACCTGACCCAATTGGTGAATATCTATTACCCACATTTATTACTGCTCAGTTATGGAACAAGGATTACTGGATGCAACTGGCAACCTCAGCTCCATCTAAACAACCAAACTGGTAATTGACCTCACTCATCATTTTAAGAGCTCCTTTGGAAATATAGGTCAGACTTATTAACTGTAATTGTGGTTTTCTGCTACCTTTGGCCTTCTGTTCCATTAACCCTTTAACATTTGCTTTAAAAAATGTACAAGCTTGTTGAAACACTCATTTACCTACAACAAATGTGACTCATTTGTTATATTTCAGTCTCTAACATACTTATGTTCTGGGGTGTAAAAGGGCATGAAATTGGGTCTGATAGCATGATCAGACCTCCAACAAAAAGAAAAGTTTATATGGAAAGGAGACATATCCAGGGGAGCTGGGGACCAAGAGTACAGATTCAATCCCACCTCTCTGAGGGAGAAGGAACAGAATTCACTACTACCTGTAAAAGGTTGTCAACTCTAATTTTTAATTAGTTATTCCCCCCTTTTTGCATGTGTGGGGTGTGTACCTGTCTGTGTATGTGTACATGTGCACGTGTGGAGGCCAGAGGTTGACATCACAAGTCTTTCTCAATCTCTCTCCACCTCATTTATTTTTTGAGGTAAGTTCTCTCACTGAACCTGGAGCTCATCGATTTAGCTACACTGGCTGCCCAGCAAGCCCTAGGGATCCTCCTGTCTCTGCCTCCCCAGTGCTGGTATTATAGGCACATGCCACTGTGCTTGTTTTTTTTTTTTTTTTTCTAACCTGGGTGCTGGAGAGCTGAACTCACGTCCTTATGCTTTTGCAACAAGCATTTTACTGACTGAGTCATCTCTCCAGGCTGTCGTTTATCATTTTAATGCCATGTACATCTGTCACTTCACATTATAACAGCATTTTGAATTTTTTAAAATCACTATTACTTTTAGTTATGGTAACAAGCACCCCGTCTGTTTCCATCACTAGACTTGAAGTTTCTTTGTTGCAGAGACTGAGCCTCTACTTTTTAACAGCGTGTAGCATACTGTGGCAAGCACTCAAAAATTCTTCTTTAAGACCCAAGTGTGAAGCCCTGAAATAATGGATGAAATGAAAACCTAAGTCCACATCCACCTAATTTCCCTGTAACAGTGAGTAGGGACGTAAGAGCTCTGTGGACTTCTGCTCCTGGCTGAGATGGAGCAGGGACGGTATTCACCAGCCACCATAAACAACCATAGAAGTGGGGTGTGGTGTTCATACCTGTGATCCCAGCAATCAGGAGGCAGAGGCAGGTGGATCTCTGTGAATTTGAGGTCAGCCTGGTCTACATAGCAAGTTATAGCCCACCCAGGGCTACAAAATGAGACCATTTTAAACAAAAACAACAACAAAAACCAACCAAACAAAGAACAGACCCAAATAACAGTAGATTATATGACACAAGTTTTTGAGACACTGGGCATTAGGCAGTGAAGAATAAGGATCCCTAAAAGGAAATAATGAGAATCTTACGGCTTCTTGGATTTTTTCCAGGCCACCGTGTTAGAAAGGGGAATCTATGTTGAGCCCTTCTAGAATGTCCCCAGATGGAAGAAATAAAATGGGTAGTATGGGGAAACCCAAGGTCAGAGTTCACAGGGTAGAAGAGTAGAGCAGATAGAGTTGAATGGAAAAGGAACTCTGGAGGGGTGTAGTGGTTTGACTGTGTCCTCTTAGAGCTCATGTGCTAGAGGTAACTGACCTCCTGGAACTCTGGGAGGCAATAAGGATTAGGTGAGGCCCCCATGATAACATTAGTGGCTCTATAAGAGGGAGAAACGCACAAGCTGGTTTGCTCTGTCTCACCATGATAGTGACGGTACTCTCTGCATGTTAAGATGCAGCCAGAAGCCCTCAGCAGATGCTCCTTTACTTCTCAGCATCAACATCTATTTTTTACAAATTAACCAGTCTGTAATATTGAGTTGTAGCAATAGAAAACTTGCTAGGACAGGGGCTCCCCCACCATCCAGCCTGTCAAGTCTTTGATGAACACTGACCAACAACGATATATGCGGAAAACACCCAAGACCAGGTAAAGAATCACCTGAAAGGTCTGGAGAGAACAGTATCTGGACCCCATGTGGAACCAGCAACAATTCTTCTCAACAACCACAGCAGAAAAACTTCATATGCCAAGGGAATTACTTGGAAAAGTTTACAGTAGTAATGAAGAAAAAACTGTCCCAGAACAAAGTTCAAGACCATTTACAGGGCAAGAAAGATGGCTCAGTAGGTAAAAGCACTTGCCACTAAGCCTGATGACCTTAGTTCAATTCCCAGGACTCACGTGCTTGAAGGAGAGAACTGACTTCCACAAGTTGTCCTCTGACTTTCCCACTCACACAGACACACAAATAAATAAATGTAAATTTTTTAATTAAAGAATATTTACAATACAAAAATATCTAACTTCCATCAAGATAAAATTCAAAATATCCAAGGTTCAATAAAAAGTTACTAGGCATGCAAAGACAAAGAAAACAAAATTGGGGGCTGGAGAGATGCTCAGAGGCTGAAAGTACTGATTGCTCTTTCCAGAGGACCCCAGTTCTGTTCCCAGAACCCACATGGCAGCTCACAACCACCTGTAACTCCAGCTCTGACACCCTCTTCTAACCTCTGCAGGTGCCAGGCACTCACGAGGTACACATATATACACAGAGGAAAACACTTATACACATAAATAAAAATAAATAAATCTAAAAGAAAAGAAAATAGAACCAGTAAACAAAGAGAAAAAAAAATCAAATTGGCCCAGAAATAACACAAATAATAAAAGTAGTAGACAAGGACATGAAAATCAGTTATAATTACACTCCATATGCATAAGAATTAGACAACAGGTTGAACATGTTAAATAAAGACACAAAATATGTAATTTGAAAGGACCCAAAGTTGTCAGTTGTGTAATTCCAGCACTCAGGAGGTAGAAGCAGAAGGAGCTCAAGTTTGAGACTAGCTTTTACTACACAGAGAGACACTGTTTAACAAAGGAGAGAAGGAAAAGAAAAGAAGAGAGCAGAAAAGAAAAACCAGACTCGTACAAATAATTAAATGTCTAAAATGACAAATACATGGGGGAGACCAACATATCTTAGAGATTAGACATTGCAGACAAGTTTAGTAAACTTGAAGGTATTCCAATATAAACCAACCAATGTGAAAATAGAACAAAGCATAGAAAAAATGACCAGAGTATCACTGAGCTGTGCAACAACGTCAAGTAATCTAATACGTACATAGATACATAGGCAGATACATAGATAACATCCGTAGACACATAGACACAAACAGATACACAGATAATAACTGAACTCTCTGGAGAAGGTTGGGGATGCCGAGACAGAAAAGAAGGAGCAACCCCAGATTCCCTCAATTTGGTAACTGCAGAACCAGAGTAAAGAAGCTCACAAACCCTGAGCCCAGGAAGCATAAGGAAACTACATCAAGGCTCGTTGTCATATGCAAGTTGTCCGAAACAAATGAGGAGAAAAGTCTTTAAAAATCCAGATGTTTGGGGGCTGGAGAGATGGCTCAGTGGTTAAAAACACTGACTGTTCTTTCAGAAGATCTGGGTTTGAATCCCAGCACCCACATGGCAGCTAACAACTATCCATAACTCCAGTTTCAGGGGATCCGAAAGTCTTTTCTGTCCTCCAAGGGCATTTGACATGGGTGCACTTAACTACATGCAGGCAATACACGCATACACATAAAAATAATAAAACATTTTAAAAATTAAAAAATTCAGATGTTTGCATACAAAAGAATGAAGAGTGGCAATAGAATCCCCCCCATGAATAATGTAAGCCAGAAGTTAGTGGGGGTACCAGGCACAGTAGCACAAACCTGTAGCTCTAGCTACTGAGGAGGCTGAGATGGAAGTTTGTTTCAGCTCAGGAGTTCAACACCAATCTGAATGGCAGAGCAAAATTCTGTCTCAATAAACAACAAAGCTCAAATAGAAGGCAGTAGAATGACATCTTTTTTAAAAAAATAAAAAAATTATCTAGATCAAATTTTTATTTATTTAAATTAAAAAAAATTTATGTGTATGAGTGTATTGCCTGCATGTGTATAAGTGCATCTGTGTTGTAGAGTGTCCGAGGTCAGGACAGAGCATTGAATTCCCTTGTAACTGGAGTTATGGACAGTTGTTAGCTGCCATGTGGGTGCTGGGAATCAAACTTGGGTCCTCTGAAAGAGCAAGAGCAGCCAGTGCCCTTATCCACTGATCCATAGACCAGGCTGGCCTTAAACTCAAAATCCTTCTACCTCAGCCTCCTGAGTGCTGGGATTACAGCCATGCACTCCCATGCCCATCTTGGATGCTCTCTTTTGAGGTTTACAAGGAAGGGACCATGTTGCTGTAAAA